ATTCACTAATTAATCACTCGAGTTTAATCAGAGTGTTACCACACCTCAGGAGAGGATAAGAAAGAGCAACCTTCATGGTAATCTCAGCTAGTGCAGGAATTGAACCCACACACAGTTGGCATCACTCACCAGGCACCCAGCAAACTGGGCTAACCAATCTCCAACCACTCCCAGCCCTTATGCCTTGTGTTCTATAGCACCTTTGATCTCTTATTCCCCATAAACTTGCTGAGCTTCCCTTTTGTTTCATCTTCCCCTCCCTCATTATCTAACAATGTAAAACTCATCATATTTCCCCTCTCTTCAGTTCTGAATTTCACCAGAATTTCATTTCACCAGAATTGAAATGTTAACTCTCTCCACAGACACTGCCAGAGCTCCGTGTACCTTCAGCAGTCTTTGCTTTTTATTTCTCTCACTATTACCCACCCAATAACTGGCTGATTTACTCCCATACATGTCAGATATTTAAGTTAACTGAGGTTAAAAATTAACTTAAATAAAATCTGGTGAAAGATGTTCTTTGATCTTACTGATATCCACTGGTCTACCAGTGCCAAGACTTGTCCTTGGGCTGGGTGTTGCAGACTGGCACATTCCAGGATCCAGGACTGCATGCTGCGGATGTGTTCAGGATTAGGGCAGACCCTGCAGGGGCACAGTGGGGGAAGGTCACTGCTAAAGTCCAAAATCCTTCAGTTATAGTACAGCGCGGGACTGGGAACTGCACTAGCCCTCAGGGCGTGTGCCTCTCAAAGAATGTACATTGTAAATGCAGAGTATTGAAAATTAATGAGGCACCTCATTGTGTGGGGAGAAGCATTTTATATCCGTTACAGTTTCGGGAATTTCCCATGAGTTGTGTACCTGATGTGGAATGTATTTTGTAGATGTTAAGACTGTTGCAATCATATTGCCCAAGGTTCAGCTATGTGTTTAGAGGTTTAAAGGTAAAGTTAAAATTTAACAACAGCATCAAATGCAGGTAAAATACAAGTGAACATTCTGAAGTGGAGTACTTTTATAAAGTATGATTTGTCCGGACAGACAAACAATACTTTTCACTATATCTCGGTACATGTGACAATAATAAATCAAATCAAATCAAAATCAAAATCAAAATCAAAAATCACACCAGACATGAAACATTTACTGTTTCTCTCTCCACAGAAGCTGCCAGACCTGCTGAATTTCTCCAGCATTTTCTGTATTTGTTTAAAATTCATGTGTAAATACTGTGTGGCAATCCCCATAACATTGTTTATCATTGACAGTTTACTAACTTCCGCATGACTCTACACAGAGGTTTGTAAAGTCACGAGAAGCATGGATAGGATGAATAACCAAGGTCCTTATCCCAGGATAGGGGAGTTCAGAACTAGAGGGCAAGGGTGAGAGGGGAAGGATTTAAAAGGGACCCCAGAGGCAATATTTTCACGCAGAGGGTGGTGCGTGTTTAAAATGAGCTGCCAGAGGAAGTGGTGAAGGCTGGTGCAATTTAAAAGGCATCTGGATGGGTATATGAGTAGGAATGGGTTAGAGGAATATGGATCAAATGTTGGTAAATGGGACTAATCAGTTTAGAATACCTGGTCGGCGCGGACAAGTTGGACTGAATGGTCTGTTTCCATGCTTTATAATTCTAATATCCTATGGTCTATGACAGAATTGAGAGAGGTCATATTTCCCAAGGTCACATACCAAAAGCAGTTTATACATGTGCCCAGCCCTGTTGGTGGTTTATTGTGACTCAGTGAACATAGCAGTTGGTCTCAAATAGCCAACAATCTCCATGGGGTGGGTTTCCCCTTTTTCCCAGGGAAGTTTAAACCTAGCACCCTGATCAGGAGAAGTCTTGGCATGCATTATTAGTGAACCAATCAGACTGAACTGATCACACACGGTGAACCACAAAATGAACAATACAGAATTCCCCTCCCCATTTCACTTGCTGTTTCAATTTCCAAAAAGCAACTAGTTCTAAGGTGGATCAGAGATAGTAGGAACTGCAAATGCTGGAGAATCCGAGACAACAAGGTGCAGAGCTGGATGAACACAGCAGGCCAAGCAGCATCATAGGAGCAGAAAGGCTGACGTTGCGGGCCGAGACCCTTCATCAGAAATGGGGGAGGGGAAGGGGGTTCTGAAATAAATAGGGAGAGAGGGGGAGGCAGATAGAAGATGGATCGAGGAGAGGATAGGTGGAGAGGAAACAGACAGGTCGAAGAGGCGGGGATGGAGCCAGTAAAGGTGAGTGTAGGTGGGGAGTTAGGGAGGGGATAGGTCAGTCCAGGAAGGACGGACAGGTCAAGGGGGCAGGATGAGGTTAGTAGGTA